TGAGCCGCCCGCAGCACCCGGTGTGTGTGGACAACGGGTGCTTTGGGAATGCCAACCACCTGCATCGTGGTGCACCAGGCTTGGGCCTGGCCACGTCTCATCCTCCACGGGATGCAGGGGCTGCTCACAGCCCTGGGCAGCCCAGGAACGAGCCCCAGGAGGACTTGTACATCTCCACTGAGTCACCCCCGATGCTGGAGGAGGCTGCTCGCAGTGGGGGGATGCAGCCCCTGAACTCACTGCCCCAAAACCAGGCTGTGTCCATCTCTGAGCATGGCGAGCACCTGGGGAGCTTCGTGGACGTGCGCAGCCCCCTCCTCATACAGCAGCAGTTTGATGCGGAGCAGAAGCTGGTCAGGATGCTGGGAGAGCACGCAGGAAAGGGAGGTGGGTTTCCTGCCTGGCAGAGTCCTGTAGATACTGTGGTGCTGCCCGATGTTCCTCACCACAGGAGAGACACCACAGGTGCTGGAGGGGGCCAGAGAAGGGCACAGAGCTGGAGCAGGGCCTGGAGCACAAGTGTGATGAGGAAGGGCTGAGGGACCTGGGGGGTTTAGTGTGGAGAAGAGAAGGCTCGGGGGGACCTTATTGCTCTCTACAACTGCCTGACAGGAGGATGGAGCCAGGAGGGGGCTGGTCTCTGCTCCCAAGGAACAAGGGATGGCACAAGAGGAAGCGGCCTCAAGCTGCCCCAGGGCAGGTTTAACTGGAGCTGAGGAACAATTCCTTGCCCAGAGGGTGCTCAGGCATTGGAACAGGCTGCCCAGGGCAGGGCTGGAGTCACCGTCCCTGGAGGTGTTCAAAAACAACCTCCTCATCTCCAGGAGTATCCTATTGCAGGATCCTTGAGGAAGAGCAAACCTCCTGAACAGAAGTTACAAACACAATACTTTTTGTTTTCTACCCAGCAGACACTTGGATGGGAACAGCTACTGTAGTCACCAACTCTGTGCCCAGAGACACTTCCCCATTGTGTGACACCTCCTTGAAGCCTCCTGGACAAGAGAAGAAAGTGCCCATGGGGGTGACAGCCACCAGCACCCCTTCCATGCCACTGGAGGAACACGTAGGTGACCTTCCCCATTGCCACTTGCTTTCATTCACGTCCTTGTGAGCTCCCCGGACTGGGAGATGTTCTGCTGCAGTATCAGGTTTTGGGCTGGTGGTGAGTTCATTTTGGGCTCTTCCCCAATGTGTTCCTGTCACTCCTGTATTCTGGAGTATGGGAGAAGGGAGCCAGGGCTGGTGGGGCTTTGGCTTTCTCCCTTTTTCCTTTCTTTCTCTGCCTTCCTTCTTTTCATCCCCCCTTCCTTCCTTTTCCTCCCCTTCCTTCCTTTTCCCCCCCTTCCTTCCTTTCCTTCCCGTATCTCCCCCAATCCCAAAGGCTCCATGGAGCCCTGCTTACTCTCCCAACCTCACTCACTACTTACGGCCCAGCCTCAGTGTCAGCAGCTGGAGATGTGGTGGTCGAGCACTGAAGTGGGCTTGTCATGTCACATGCGTGCCCAAGGTCAGGCCAGATGGGTGCTTATGGTCGCACCCAGCCCCTCTCCTTGTCTCCTTGTCTCCCAAAGGTGCCCCTGGCCTCAGTGGACCCACTCCTGGGCACAACTGCTGCAGGAAGCATGTCTGGGAGGACATCCCGCCGGTTTAGTTCTGCCACCACCATCTGGGCATTCAGCAGCGTGGAGGGGGACATGGAGCCCAGCAAGCCAGGTGTCCTCCTCTCCATGCCTGGGGACACCCAAGAGGCAGGTGGCAGATGCCCCAGTGGCCCCTATTCCAGCGTATCCAACAGCCTCACCTTCAGGAATGACCCTCTCTTGGTGAGCGCGGAAAGCTCCAGCTCGGGAGAAGCACTTCCCAGTGCCTCCTTGGGATGCCCAACATCAGACGCTGGGGAAGAGGCATCGTCTGGAGCAAGCAGAGATCCTCATCCACTTCCAAGCTGGAGCAGCACCCATGAGGTCCACATGGAGCATCACCCCAGTGTCCAGCTTGAGGCTGGCAACGACCTCCAGGACAGAGCCAATCCCACTGGAACCTCGGGTTTTGACTCTGTGACCAGATTGTCTCAGGGCAGTGTCCCCTCAGAGGACAGCAGTGGGCCATCCCGGTCATACCTCATCCCGACTGTGGGCATCGCTGTGATTTCAGTGGTGGCATTTCTGGTGTGCACTCGATGGCAGAAATGAGGGTCACTCAGCAGCTCCTCTTCATGGCAGGGATTTGGCCAACACATCTGAAGCCTGAGGAGCAGCAGTGAGGATGGTAGGGATGTTGTTAAATCTCCTTCTGGAAGGTTCTGCTGGAAAAGGCCTTGGTTGGGTGATGCTGTTAGGTTTGGATCTGTTCCTCCTCTGGTTCCCAACCATCTTCTTGTCTGTAGCCTTCTCCTTTTACACCCATAGAGGGGGTCTCACTCAGGGAGTGACCCTTTAAGTCAAAAATGAAAGTACTCATGGTGATGCCCCACATCTTCCTTGTTTGGAAGGACCCAGGGAAATGTGTCCCGGTGGTCCAAAGGGTGAACTCACCACTGGTCCCTCCAAGCAGTGAGTGAGGAGAGGTTGTGCAGATGTCCTGTAAAAGTGGAGCTGATTCTGTTGGCTTTGGTCTTCCCAGCTTGAAAATGAGCCCAAGGGGCTGTGCAGTGGCCTTCACCAGGTGCCTCATTTGCCTTACTGGTGTCTCTGGCTCTGCTGCAGGGACCTTTGCTTGACTCTGCTGGGGATGAAGCTGAGGGTCAGGAAAGAGCCACATCTAACCAGCTTTGTATTAGAGAATTATATCATGGAATGCTTTGGTTTGGAAGGGACCTTGAAGCTCCTCCAGCTCCAATCCCCTGCCACGAGCAGGGACACCTTCCACTAGAGCAGGTTGCTCCAAGCCCCTGTGTCCAACCTGCCCTTGAACACTGCCAGGGATGGGGCAGCCACAGCTTCTCTGGGCACCCTGTGCCAGCACCTCAGCACCCTCACAGGGAAGAGCTTCTGCCCCAGAGCTCATCTCAGTCTCCCCTCTGGCAGGTTCAAGCCATTCCCCTTGTCCTGTCCCTCCATCCCTTGTCCAAAGCCCCTCTCCAGGTCTCCTGGAGCCCCTTTAGGCCCTGGAGCTGCTCTAAGGTGTCCCCTTCAGGAGCCTTCTCTTCTCCAGCTGACCCAGCCCAGTGTGAGGATGTGGTGCTCTGGGACATGGGTTAGTGGTGGCCTTGGCAGTGCTGGGTTAACAGTTGGACTCAAAGGTCCTTTCCAACCTGGTTGATTCTGTGATTCTCCACACACTTTCTGCATGATTCGAGGACACCTGTGAAATACCAAACCAGCAGCATCTCTACCCAGACCCTTTTCTCTGCTGCTTTACTCGCCTGTAACATCCTTCACATATTTTCCTGCTACTTCTCAGTAGTGCACTTGGCTTCCTCACATCAGATCACTTGTGAAACACCTGATTTGTCACTACTCAGACCCAGTGTTCTGCTGTGAAGTGCTGCTGTTTTCACAGTTAATGCAGCACTTTAAGCATCCTCAGCAGGTGAACCTGCAGGAGGGAACATGAACTTGTGTCTTTGACATCTTCAACAAAGACAAAAAGCCTTTTACTAACTGTAATAAAATCGTTTGTCACTTCACACTCAACTCGTGAGGTTGCCACGTGTGTGTTTGTAACAGGAGGGGGATGGAGCTCAGCTCTTGGAGCCTATACAGCAAGGAAATGTGTATGGAGAAGGTGATAGGAGAATTAAATCACCTCACTCAGCTGCTCAGGGAGTGAAGGCCACAGAGAAGGATCCATCCAGCCTGTAGCTGAGGCCCTCAGTGCCATGGGTTAGTGGTGGCCCTGGCAGTGCTGGGGTAAAGGTTGGACTTGATGATCTTAAAGGTCTTTTCCAACCTGGCTGATTCTGTAGTTCCTCTGGGTTTCTGGGAGAGGGTTGCAGCAGCTGATGCACGTTGGGATTCCCATTTAAGATAAAAGGTACTTTTGGAGAAAGCTGCTTCTGCCATATACAACTCCAAGCAGCTCCATCTGTGGCAGCTGGATCTTTTCCCTGGAGCTGCATTTGGATTTCTTGGAGAACTCTTCTCCTGCATGTCACAGAATGACAGACTGGTTTGGGTTGGAAGGGACCTTAACGCTCCTCCAGCTCCAACCCCCTGCCAGGGGCAGGGACACCTTCCACTAGAGCAGGTTGCTCCAAGCCCCTGTGTCCAGCCTGGGAGTTTGGATGCCCCTGGGGGGTTTCCTGGTGGTTCCTGGCACTGCCTGAACCTCCCCACAAATCTCAGGAGGTCACCTCTAGTCTCTGGGATGCTCAAACAGGACGTGTCACCCCAACATGCCCAAATCCTCAGATCAAACAAGGGTCTTACCAGAAGAAGCTGAAGAAGAGGAAGAGGTGAGGAAGCTGAATTCCCAGCAGACACTCCTCAGTAACTGAAGGGGGCTGCAAAGATGCTGGAGAGGGACTCTTCATCAGGGCCTGGAGGGACAGGACAAGGGGAATGGCTTGAACCTGGCCGGGGGGGGGCTGCGAGACGCGTCCTGTGGAAATCATAATTCACCCATCTGGGTGATCTGCCTCTATTCCCAACTGACTATAAAAGAGGGAAGTGTTCAAGGCCAGGTTGGACACAGGGGCTTGGAGCAACCTTCTCTAGTGGAAGGGGTCCCTGCCCGTGGCAGGGGTTGGAGCTGGAGGAGCTTTAAGATCCCTTCTAACCTAAACCAGGCTGGGATTGTATGATTCTATGATCCAGATTCTCCTTGCTTCTCTGATTGAGTCAGACCCCAGGATCCTGTACAGAAAAGGGAGCTGGGCAACCTTTGCCGCCCCAGGTTCATGCTCTGGTGTGCAGGAACCACTCCTTGTCTGCTCAACAGCTTCAGGCTTGGCCTGACCAGCAGAAAAGAGACACCAAAACCACTGCTGTGCCCAGCTCCAGCTCCCCCCTCACTGCCCTGGGGTGAGCCAGCCTGTGGCACGTGCCTTTTGGGAACATACGGGAAGCCCTTAAGCAGCATTGCATGTCCTCTCCACACTGCCTTCTACAGAAGGGGCTCCCAAGGGTCTCTGAGCCCATCCCAGTGGCTCTCCCCACTTTCTGCTTTCCCAGCTTGGCTTACAACCCAGGTACATGGAACACATCCAGGGCTGGTATTGAAAACACCCTGAGCTTCACTGAGCTCATTCCTTAGCAAAACAAAGGGTTATTTTTCCTCAGAGCAGTTATACTTTAGCTCATTGGTTCCAACCCCATTTCTATCCTCCCTGCATGTGCCCAGCAGGACACTAAAATGGCCCAAACTAAATGTGACCAGTCTCTTTGTCCTGTTTTCACCACAGCGACCAGAAGTGAGCAAGCTCTCACTGGAACTATCCCACCTCTTTGGAATGTCACTGACTTTATATCCCTTTGGTATCGAGTTAATGCCTGAGGATTGCGGTGAGCTGAGATTAACGTGGTGCAGGTGAAGAGCACAAGAGCACTGCGGGTCACTGGGCTGCAGTTCCCTGCAGGGCTGTGCTCTGGGTATGTTAGATGTCAATTAACCCTGAGAACATTCCACCTGGGAATCTCCATCCTGTTACAATGGGAGCTGTTACAGCAGCTTACAGTCTGGGAGTCTGTTCTCCTCTTCACTGTTCTCTTCAAACATTTCCTCTTCAAGAGCTGGGCTGGGGCAGCTGGAGAAGAGAAGGCTCCTGAAGGGGACACCTTAGAGCAGCTCCAGGGCCTAAAGGGGCTCCAGGAAACCTGGAGAGGGGCTTTGGACAAGGGATGGAGGGACAGGACAAGGGGAATGGCTTGAACCTGCCAGAGGGGAGACTGAGATGAGCTCTGAGGCAGAAGCTCTTCCCTGGGAGGGTGCTGAGGCGCTGGCACAGGGTGCCCAGAGAAGCTGTGGCTGCCCCATCCCTGGCAGTGTTCAAGGGCAGGTTGGACACAGGGGCTTGGAGCAACCTGCTCTAGTGGAAGGTGTCCCTGCCCATGGCAGGGGTTGGAGCTGGAGGAGCTTTAAGCTCCCTTCCACCCAAACCATGTCATTCCATGATTCTACGTCACCTTGGTGATCGTTGCTTGCACCCCTCTGCATGGTCACCTCTGGTTTTCTGTTGCTTGGATGGCTGCTGCTGTAGTTGTTGGCTGAGCATCGACAAACGCAGGTCAGAGTTTAAACAACAGGACACAGCAGCACTTAAATCACACTGTGGTGCCGGGGGACTGGGTCTCGATGTGCCCCGAATCATTGACTCCTGTATGTCTCCTCTTCTAAACCTCCAGTCGTGGTCCCGTCCTTTCCACCCAGCTCCCAAGACCTCTGTGGAACTGGACTGTTTCCCTCTGTCCTCACCGGGGGTTTGGGCCCGGCCTGGTCCCTGAAGCCACATGAGGGGGGAATGGTGGTCTTCCTGCTGTCCGCCTGTCTCTTGCCAGCCTCAGCACATCCGGAGCTCTCCTCTGTCCCCCGGGAACACCCAATTCCATTTTTTTTTTAGCCCATTACCCCGGCCCAGGGGGCAGCGCCCGCCGGGACAGGCAGCTCCAGCCCTGCGCTTCCCACAGGGAAGCAGTTGGAAGGGGCAGGCAGGGAACGGGGAGGTTTGGGTCCCGGGAGGGCTGTAGGGCACAGGGCCCTCATGTTCGGGGTCTGGCAGACCCCATAATGAGGGGGTCTCGCTAATTGCACCTCGCTAATTGCATATCCAAATCATATGCAAAGCAGCCCGCGGGGCCTGCAGCGGGCTTCCCTCGGGCCCCCGCCCCGGTCTGCGTTGCCATAGTGACCCGGGCTGTCAATCAGCCAGCCCGCT